GGTTTCCAACAAAGGTAGCGGAGTGGCCTTTTGAGCTTGTGATTGGCTAACACCAGGTTCATGAGACTCAAGTATCTCTTCAAGTGAATCACAGTTCCATATTTGCAGCTTGTCTAGTCTCTGAAGCCTTTCCAACATACTAAATGGGAAAATATTCAATAACTTTTCACATGAAACCACACTCACCAAAGTTAGTTGGCAGAAAGAATCTACTTCAAGCTGGTCGTTCCATATTTTATTCAAGCTCTTTACATGTTCAATTACCAAACGCTCTAATTTGGGGAATGCCACCTAAAGATTTACACAATTCAATTAAAATTAAATATAATTATAGATGTAATGGAATGAAAATATTGGAATCTAATTTTTTTCAAATGTAAAACTTTAAGAAAATAATAATAGCATTATAAGACATTAAAAAGCAAAAAATAAAGGGAAAAAAATAGAGGAGAAATCACCTTTGCATCAAAGAGAGAAAGTGTACAAGTGTTTTTGACATTTTCAGAACTAGCTATCATGTCTCCAAAATAGAAGCTAGAGAGCAAAGTCTTCAGCACAGGGCACTTGCTTATCTTAAGTTTCCAAAGGCATGGTAATTCCAAGTAATTTCCAGAACAAAATCTTGTGAGTTTTGGAAGGTCTTGGAGCAGTAGGAACTCCAGGTTAGGGAAGAAAATCTTGCACATCCTTTCCTCATCCATTGATTCTTCTGCATGTATTACCTCTTCCATCACATTACAATCACAAATCTTGAGCCAATTCAGTTGCTCAAAACTCTTAACCATGGAGGATGTCAATAGATATTCCAAATTACCACAACCCTCCACACTCAACTTTCTTAAATTTCGGACATAAGAAGAGATTTCTAGGATCGAATTGTCCAAAATTCGTTGGATGTTATTTGAAGACAAACTTAAAAACTCCAAGTTAGGAGTCTCTACCTGCAAAGATTCTTAGTTAGTTTATTAATATAAGACAGTAGGAAGATGGCTATCATATTTGCTTAATTTTAATTGAAGACAACTTCAAAAACTCCAAGTTGAGAAAAACTCAACCTAATAGAAACTTCATGCTAATAGAAACTTCATGAAAAAGTTTTTTTTTTTTTAATTGATTAAAGGATAATCCAAAAGCAAGAACATGAAAATGATATGCAATTAAGTGAAGTAAATTGATATTTTGAGTAGAAAATAGCCAACTCTTTTTAGACTTAAACATTATTTGGGTCAATGCAGGGCAAAAAAGAAAAAAAAATATTATTTGGATCAATAATCTTATTTTTAAACTTGAATAACTTCACATTTTAAGTGGTGATGTACCAACCAAGAGTCTTTATTTTCTAACCGTATATTAAGTGGAACTTATTTGGGAAGATTCATTCATGTGGTTAAAGAGGTAGCTAGAGATGGAAACACTGACATGCGAAAAGCAAACATAAATATGCTGTAAAATCTTAATTACAAAAAATAAATATAAAAAATAAACCATGTTGCTGTAAAAAAGAAAAAAAAGAAAGAAAAGGGAAAAGAAGAAAAGAAACTAACCTTGCTGCTAAGGAGGTATTGATATTCCTCTTTGTCGTGCTCTTCTAAGGATGTAGAAGCAGCGCATGTGACCATCTTTGAGCAGTCCTTTAAAATAAAATTACTTAATTGTGGAAGCTCAAGACTATGACTTCCCACATAAAAACTTGTCAAATCTGAGCAAGACTCTAGATTGATCAACCAAAGATGTGGGAATTCCATTTTATATTTTGCTCCTTCTCCCATTATCACTTGTTCCATTGTTCCACAATTTTTTACTATTAACTGCAAGAGTCGCACGAGGCCCAAAGCCATTGAATCCGTTAATAGGTACCTGAACCTGCTACAATCACAAATTTCTAGCACCTGAAGTTGTCTAAAATCTAAGAGTTCTTGAGGATTCTTGATATGCCATGTTTCCAATAACTTGGGAAAATTTGACGGCATCAAAAGTTGTAACCCAACAAATCCAACC